GCTCAGGGGTACTAGGGACTCACCATTAAGAATTACCTTAAGTCCTGAATTACTTTTGAATGTCCCACTAGTTGGTCATGTATATGAAAAGAAAATGTTTACAGTTGTCAGAGTCTAAAACCTAACTCAATTTTACATATGCATGGGGAATTTTTACAGGACTTGGGGTAAATGTTGAATATTTCAGGAATAAATACTGTGTTATTGAAGGAAGATATTACCTTGATTTCTCTGGAACTCTACCAAGAGTTATTCACCATTTTGGAAAATCATGTAACTGCTGACATTCATTACATACATAGTGATTCATCATATAGATGGAAATGTCTGACTGCTCAGTAAGTGTCTGTGAATTTAATTGAAACTAGAAGGATTGAGGGGAAGCAGGGAACCAAAAGGGGAAAAAGCACTTCTCTGTTTCCTAGTGAATGCATTTTCTTTCCTCTATTCCTTTTGTGTTTCATTCATAGTGTATCTCTGTCATTAAATGAGATCCTAGTGGTGATAAAGTGGTATTTTACTTTGAGTCTTTAGTACTCAGTGCATGTTAATTGTTCAACTTAATATTCAGTTGACTTTATGACAGTAGTATTTTATTAAACTTTTACTAAATGAGTCTGTCCAAAAAAGAGGACAAAAATACATTGTACCTTCTCAAGGAACACATGATCTATTGCCAAGACAGACCTGGAAATAATTATATCACCACTTCTAAAATCGAAGTAGGTATAAACTACAGATCTGTAATGAAAACTTAAAGAACAACACTTTAGTCATGTGGGGAGGTCCTAAAATGTCATTACAGGAGAGAAATAGTATGCAGTATCGCAGTGCCAAAACTAAGTATTTGGAAGTTGAGTAGATTAGCATAGTTCTGAAGAGTAAGAAGATGTTGTAAAATGGTCAGGTTTGAAGAGAACATCCAGATAGGAAATCCCTACTCAAAGACTCAGGTACAAGCGGCACAGATGGTATTATAGGAACATAAAGTTAGAGATTGAGTCATAAGAGAGAAAGCTCCCTGGATGTGATGAACCAGATCACGAAGCACCTCTTCATGAAAAGAAGCTAGATTTTATCTTGTAGGGGATAGAAAACCGTTGCTGTAACAATTAAAACTAATGTATTTCAATATCATATTATACTGTGTGCCAGGCAGGCACCTATAATAATCCTGTTTCAGAGTTGGTATATTTTCATTTTATACTTAGTAAACTGAGTCTTAGAATAATTAACTTGCCTAGGTTTTCACAACTAACCCAGTGAAAGAATTAGTATTCATACTAAAGTTGTTTGAGTTCAGGTCCTCCTTCTGTCTGCTTTTTAAACCATATTTTACAACCCCTCCAACAAGAAAGGAACTAGATTTCTTTAACTTATTTCTTAAAGGCTGCTTTTTGTGCTGCTGTCATTTTTTTGTCTAGATAGTTAAAACACCTGTCTTGGCGTATTGAAATGTTGCAGGGGGGAGATTTAGGGCTGCCACCCACCATTGAATGTCATAGACCAATCAGCATGATTTGTATACTCTGAAAAGACAGTTTTGAAGTACTGCTTTCTTTTTGAAACATTTAGATCTGTGTTCACCATACAAAAAAAAAATAGTAAATTATTTTAAGAAAATCCAGTATTAATCTTGACAGTCTATTAATTAATATAGATGTAGTTGACTACTTACTGATTTCTACCTCATAATAATTCTGGTGGGTCCGGTTAGCTTAAAGTACTTCAAAAAATATTTAAGCCTGTGATCTCTCTGCCTACTCTTGAATAAAATTATTACTACTTTTATTAGTTATTAAAATATGGTAAATTCGGAGGGTTGGAGAGAATGGATTGAGGAGATCAGAAGGTACAAATTTCAACATAAAATGATTAAGTATGTAAAGGATGTAGTAAATATACCGTGTGGTGACTACAGCTAATAAGACTGTGTTGCCTATTTAAAGTTGTTAAGATGATAGGGAACAGATATTCAGCAGATTTATTGTAGTGATTTATTTCCCGATGTATACAAATATCAAATCATACCAGAAACAGATAATTGTACTTCAGTAAAATTAAATAAATCTTAAAATTGGTAATTTCTAGAGAATTCTTAATGCCAGTAAACTGATGCTTAAGTGGTCAAAATGCTAAATTTTATGTGTGTCTTATCACAATAACAAAATTTGGTATAGAAATTCAAAGTGAACTAAGGGCTTTATCAAATAATATCCAATCATATTTTTGCGAGCCTTTTTTGGTTGTGTAAGGAGAGAGGAAATGGTTTGTCTCAGCTCTCTTAAGACATCACATATCATCATAAGCTGATCAAATTAAATGGTCTTAATACTAGGCTGTTTGAAAGGAAAGAATTGTCCTATGTAAGTGCAACAATAAAGAAGGAAATGTGGTAATGATATTACAGTCAGTTATCCACAGGATTAATTTGATAAAGACACCTTTTTAGACTTGGCTGCTGTTAGCCAAGTTTGTTTGCTTTAGTTTGTTGTTTAGAAGGGCAGCTGAAGAGTCAGATGGGCTATACAAATGTTACCTCCACAAGTAGCAGGTGCACTGTGTGATATTAGATCCAAAGCATAACAATAGTTCAGACTTTTAGATACCTTCATCCACACCTTCCAGCCTCTCAGCATTAGAAATTAAATTTTCATTCATTAGATTCACAAAAATTAAGAGAATGTTGGTGATGATATGGGGAATATTTATATTGTATGTGAGTGGTTAGTGCCTGTTTTTGGAAAGAATTATGGGGGTAACCATTTAAAAAATTTTTAATATGCATATTTTTGGCCCTGTAATCCCTCAGAGTTAGTATTACTGCCTAGAAATATTAACACAAAAAAAAATTTTTTTTTTTGCTATGTAGTTTGTACTGGCAAAAAAGTAGAAGCAACCTGGATCATAATCAAGAAATGGTTGAACAAACTTTAGTTCATTCTATACATTCTAAAGACCAATGTTTACATCTATTAAAATGTGAGTCACATCTATGTTGGTCTGGAATGACAGCCAATGTTTCCAACTGTATGTTAAGAACACAAGAAGATTCACATCAAACTGTTAAAACTGATTCAGGGAGTTAAACTTGGCGGTAGGATTAAATTTCCCTGTACAGCAATGTTGTTGGATTAGTCATAATATAGATTTTGTAACTTAGAAAGTTTCTGAAGTGAAAACAGGAACCGGGAAGAGATTTATAATGAAAGAAAGTGTAATAGGAAATACTAAGGAGTGGGCTGATGACTCAAAATGGGTACAGGAGAAACCTTGATCCTGGTAATGATCTTGATATAGGTGTGTTAGTCACACAGGTGTGTTCACTTTGTAAAAATACATCTTTTTGTATGCTTATGATTTGTACAAGTTTATATATACATTATATCACTTAAAAGTCTATTAACTTGTCACAGCAATACAATGGAATACTATTATGTTTTTTAAAATGCTTTCAATAAATATTTAATGATATATTAAGTTGGGCGAGAAAGCAAGACAGTTCCTTTATTATGAAATAATGTTAGACTGAACATCACAGACGAAGGCTAGAATAAAAACACTACAACATTATTAGTACATATTATGTCCAGATGATCATTGTATTTTTTTGTTTTATTTTTGGGTTTCTGTTTTAAGTAAGAAGAATTTATTGGATTGGTTGGTTTAGGAAGGTCCTTAGAAAGTGTTGAACACAGCAAGATTATGGGATACTGAGCAGAAAATAAGGGTGAAGAGGAAAGGTTAAAAAAAAAATAGAAAAAAAAAAAAGGCTACACTAAGTAGAGGTGCAATAAGGTCAGGTAATTTTTTTTAACCCTTTCCAGGAGAAGTCTCCTAGTGGTGAGGGACTGATTTCAGCTATCAAGCCTTCAGGTAGCAGTAACTGAAAAAAAAAAAAAAAATTTAGGCAAATTCAATTTGATCTGTACACATAACTCATACTCAGTACTTCAGTTTTGTTTTGTTTTGTTTAAGCATTTAATTTTAATGAAACCTACGCTGTTGATAGTTGTAATCGATTGTAGCAGATGGTACTGGTAGTAGTTTGAGAAACCTGTATTCTGCTCTCCCACTTCATTAATTGTCGTTTACTCAGGTGGTTTTGCAGCCATAGTTATCACGTGGGGGAGTGGGGGGGGGCAAATAATACCTTCCCAGGTTCTAGCTATAATCAAATGAGAAAATATATTGAAGCCACTTTGAAAGAATTACACACAATTTAATTCTAAAATACATAGTTTTCTTTCTCTCTCTCTTAAGCCCAGTCTTTAGTTGTGGGAAGTTTTTAGTTCAGATGAAACTTATTTCCCTTAAGAATTCCAAAATTGAAGTTTATGAAAGCGCTTTTTCCAGTTTCTGCAAATGTTGCATTTCGCTTTTCCAGTAATAATTGTGATTGTAATGCATATTTAGTATTTTTACACTACATATTAGTATTTAATACTTTATATATCAAATGGAAATGCAAACATTTTAATTCCAAGTACTGTAAAACTGTCACTAGAACTATCGGGTTTTTCCCTCCTGTTTTATTCATTATTCACTACGTTGAAAAAAAATCAAAATCAGGTCTCTTCAGGTGTCTCATGGGTTCTGATAAAAGACTTGAGTTTAGAAAAGCCCTTATTAGCAATAACGTGAACGGAATTTGGTTTGGAGTGGAGAAAGCTGCGTGGCACTAGGACCCAGGGGGCTCCAGTGAGCGGATCTAGGGGCCAGATTGCAAATTCGCGGTGACTCAGTCTGGTCGGCTTCTTGCGCTCGGCGGCCGCGGCGGCAGCAGCAGACGTTGGCGGCAGAGCTCCTGGGATCAGTCCCCCCGGGTTTCGCCGTCTGAGACTGCTTTCGGGGCACACCAGGCAGGTCGAGGCGTGGGGGGATGCCGCAGGGGTTGTCCGGGCTAATAGAAGGGGTTTGCTCGGCGCTGGAAGCCCTCGGGCCTGTGCATGGGGAGTAACATTTGCTTCGTCTCTTCCTGTGTCTGGCTTTATTTGCAGCAAACCAAGATGGAGTATGAGTGGAAACCTGACGAGCAAGGGCTTCAGCAAATCCTGCAGCTGCTGAAGGAGTCCCAGTCCCCAGACACCACCATCCAGAGAACCGTGCAACAAGTATCCTTTCCGAGGCCTCTCCGCCGCCCGCGCACTCACCCCGCGCGGGCCCGCTCCGGGTGGCCGGGTGGC